GATCACTGGCAATTATTGCAAAACATTCCTGATGAACCACCAATTCAAGTAAATACATATTCCCACCTGAATGAGCATCAGCAACAACAAATCACCAGATTTCTCGATAAAAATAAAGATGCTTTTGCTAATGACCTATCTCAACTAGGACATACCACGATAGAAAATCATCATATTCCAGTAGAAAATCCAATGCCAATACGACAGCGTGCATATCGAGTAGCCCCCTTAGAACAAGAATTTATTAAAGAGGAAGTTGATAGAATGTTGGAACATAATTTAATTCAACGTTCTGAGAGCCCTTGGGCCTCACCCGTTGTTCTAGTAAGGAAAAAGAATGGGAAACTTCGATTTTGTATCGATTATAGGAAACTGAACAGTGTCACCCAACGGGATGGACATCCTTTACCTCGCATTGACGAATTGCTTGATATGTTTGGAAAAGCAAAGTATTTCTCGACGTTAGATTTAGCAAGCGGATATTGGCAGGTTGCAATGGATCCAAATGATCAAGCTAAAACAGCGTTTATAACCAGCCAAGGACTTTATGAATTCAAAGTCATGCCATTTGGATTAACAAATGCCCCTGCGACCTTTCAACGTTTGATGAATAAAATCTTTAGAGAAGAAATCGGACGATTTGTAGCTGTATATCTCGACGATATAATTATTTTCTCAGCTACTTTCGATGAACATATACAGCATTTACAATTAATTTTTAAAAGATTAAAGGACGCCGGATTAAAGCTTGGAAAAGATAAATATGATTTTGCTAAGTTGGAATTAGCATTCTTAGGACACATTGTTAGTGGAGGAATTTCCCCTGACCCTTCCAAAATTGACAAAAATAAGGATTTTCCTATCCCAAAGAATATAACCGAACTCCGAGGATTCTTAGGCCTTGCGTCCTATTATAGGAGATTTATTCAGGACTTTTCTACATCTGCTGCACCTTTACATTTATTATTACAGAAAGATGTACCTTATATCTGGACAGAACCACAACAAAACGCATTCGAACACTTGAAAGTTTGTTTAACTACTGCACC